CGTCGACTGGACACCAACAAGTGCATGTCACCCGTGCGCAACCAAGGTAGCTGCGGCTCGTGCTGGTCGTTTGCGGCCGTGGGTGCTGTCGAAGCCGCACACTGCCTAATGACCGGGTCGCTCGTCGACTTTTCCGAGCAGCAGCTCGTGAGCTGTGCCTCGAGCGCGGGCTACGGCTGCCAGGGCGGCTGGCCCAACAAGGCGCTCGACTACATTGCGCAGACGGGTTTGTGTACCGAGTCGGGCTTTCCGTACGCCTCGGGCAGCTCCAACCAGAACGGCCAGTGCAAGGATTGCCAGAAGACCAAGGTCAACGTCGGCAAGGCCGTCGATATCCAAGGCGAGAGTGCGCTCCAGAGCGCGCTCGACAAGCAGCCCGTCACGGTCGTCGTCGAGGCCGGCAACAACGTGTGGCGCAACTACAAGAGCGGCGTCGTGCAGAGCTGCCCGGGTGCGCAGTCGGACCACGCAGTGATTGCTGTCGGCTACGGCACCAAGGACGGCCAGCAGCACTTCAAGATCAAGAACTCGTGGGGCACGGGCTGGGGCGAGCAAGGCTACATGTACCTCAAGCGCGGTGTGAGCGGCAAGGGCATGTGCAACGTGGCTGAAGCGCCGTCGTACTCGCCGATGAGTGGCAAGCCGCAGCCGACCTCCAACCAGCCGCAGCCGACGAAGAAGCCGATGCCCCAGCCTACGAAGAAGCCCTTGCCCAAGCCCACCAAGAAGCCCCAGGGCGACTGCAACGGTTGCAACGGCTGCTACTACCCCGCCGCGTCGCAGTGTCTGACGGCCGACTACGACAAGGAATACTGCGAATACCTCGCCGCCGAGTACGGCACCAAGTGGTGCACGGCGTAAAGCGCTACCCATGCTCGTCTTGTTTGTGCCTACATGCAATTCGCTTGTTTCAATTGCTACCCTCTACGATAATCAACACTTTGTTCCCATTTATGCTTACCTGTATTTGTACGATCAAGTTATCAAAATCCAAGGAAGGATCCCATGTCTTTCGTACGGGACGTAGAGCGCCTTCACTTTGGCTTGGCTGTCAGCATATTTGGGATGCCGGGGTACGCCGGCGGAATCATTCCAATCAAGAAAAGAGCTCTAAGTTCTAGTACCGTAAGCCTCATAACACCTCAGTTGTGTTGAGAAGAAGCACAGTTGTGTTGAGAAGAAGCACAATCGACCAAGACTCCAACGCAGTACCCTAACCACAAGCGGTACCAAAGGAGGTTGCTTTAAAGCTTTACGGTGCACCCTTCTGCATAGCCGCGCGCACTGAGGCGATTCTCTTGTCGAGCGCATCTTTGGGTGACTCACGGACCTCCTGGCACGCTGCTTTCGTGTCGCCTGAGAGGAGCGCATGGAGGTAGCCGTACCGCCCACGCAGTGTCTAGGTTCGTTCATTTTAGCTGTATATCCAGAGTCTCCAGTTACCTCCGAATCAAACGGCAACGGACCGTCGTACATGACGTCACATGTCATCTCGTCGTTGCCAGGCTCAGTGCTGTCGTCTTCCGAGTCTGCCTTGTCTCTTCCAAGGCGATCCAGCGCGGCCTTGAGTGCCCCCCCCACCCACGTCATGGGCAGCAGCGGACACTCGGTTCCCAGCGCCTGGGACGCTTCCGCATACGTTTTGAGACCACATCGGATCTGACTTGTCACATCCGCATCCAACGTGGCGACGCGAGCAGCCACTTGCGATGGTGTCGGCGGGGCCGCCTGCCCCAGGTACGCGGTTCCTTGAAAAAGGTAGCCCGGCAGTGTCTCGAGAAGCAAGAGTCGGGTCATCTCGTAGCTGCGGCGCCAGTGTCGGCGGTCCGTCTTGCGCGTGTAGAGCACCTTGGCGTGGGCATAGGCGGCAAACGCGGCCCGAATCTACACGTAGATCAGTGCACCCTAGCCCTACATGTTGAACAAAAGATGATAAAATACCGTCAGCGAATGGTTGCAATAGTCGACGACGTGGACGCGATCCTTTCCGTCGCGCGCACGGTTCAAACGGCTGAGCAGCTGCACAATATGTGCATGGCGCGAGAGCGGGCGGTCAATGTACATGGCGATCAATGCCGGCTCGTTGTAGCCCGTGTCGAGCTTGTCGCAGACGACAATGACGTCGGCCAGCGAGAGGGTGCACGTTGTGTTGAGCTGCTTCTCGCTGAGGCCGTCAAATGCACTGAAGGTACTATAGACTTGGGTCGGCCATCCCCTACATTATCATTATTGTCATCAGTTGTCTTTTTTTTCTTCAAAAAATGTGAATAAGAAGAGAATAAGAAAAGAAGAAAATCAAAGCACGTCGTACTGCGCCGTCATGTACGACTGGATCGCAGCGTGGTACGCGACCACGTCCTTGCGGCTGCGCACGACCACCAGACACTACACCCACAGAGACCCCTCAATCACTGAATATACCACAAAAGCGGAATACCATACCTTGCCAAAGACGGCCTTGGTCTTGAGCCGAACAAAGTGCTGCATCATCGACTTGACTTTGGCGAGGATCGACGGCGACCTAAGTCGGCTTTGCAGAAACGTCGTCTGCGACAGCACGTCCACAATGTGCTTGTGGGCGATCGCGACCGAGAGCGAGTGCGTGTCGAGCGGCGCACGCGGGTCCACCCCACAGCCAAAGAGCTCGAGCGCCTGGACACTCGGTGTCGCCGAAAAGCCCACATACTACCTGTCGCATTGAATGAGACGATAACTCATACTAAAAAGGGAGTTTTATTGTACCATGGTCTTGCACGCATCGGTGGAGAGTGTTTGGAAGACCGTGTCGATCGAGACGCGCGTCGACGAGGTGTGCGACCGGTGGGCCTCGTCGGCGAGGATCGCGAGGTGCTTGTACGTGGCGCTGCTGCCTGCGGTTGATGCATGCAAGAGCCGCGCCAGAAGCACCTTGTCGTTGACGAGCTGGCTGAGCTTGTGGGTTGTGATCACAATGACCTTTTGGTCGTCCGACTTGCGCACAAACGCGCTGAGGTGCTCGATGCTCTCGGCGCGGTAGATGACTTCCATGCCATTTTGGTGCATGAAGGCCTCGACCGTGTCGCCAAGCTGCTGATCGAGCTTGATGCGATCGACGAGGATAATGATGGTGTGAAACCCATGACCCGACGCATCCGAGGTGTAGAGGAGCTGATACGCCTACGACAGTACCCGAATGAATGCGAGATCATTGTGGAACTGGATACGAGCGTACCAAGCACGCCAGCGTGACCGACTTGCCCGAGCCGGTGCTGTGCTGGATCAAGTAGTTGGCGCCTGGGTCTGTCGACGTCGACACGGCGTGCGCAAACGTGGCGACCGCGCGGACTTGGTGCAGCCACGGCAGGAAGATCGCCATGCAGTATTCCATTGGGAGAGTGCAATTGATGCGTTCTTCTCTGCCTCTCACGCGAAAGGGATGGCGTCAAGGAAAAGGCAACATTTTGGGATTTACAGTTTGTTGATTATTTATTTTATGTTTTGTTTTCTCGATGCGATGATTACCCGCGCAGCGGCACTTGATGGACGACGCGGAAAGGGTCGTCGCGTCCGTTGCGCTCGAGGACGACGACGCTCGCAATGGCCCACGGCGGCAGCGGTAGCAGCTGGGCCTCCATCGCGCTTCGCAGCGCCGCCGTGGCCTGGACTCCGCCCTCTGCTTGGCCCAGCGTCAGGTGCGGTGCGAACGCTCGCTTGTCATGGTCGCACTCGGGAAACGCCGCCTGGAGCTTGGCCTGGAGCGACACGAGCGCGTCGTGC